CGGCGTGAGATCTCACGTTGACCACCTTACTTCTCAAATTGTTGTCCCGTAACAGCAAAATCTGTAAATTAAATAGTACTGAGTATGACACCAGTTCACACAATTGCCTGCTGGCTGGATCATGCAGAGCATAGCTTAATCAGTAGAATCAAGCACTTGCACGCAGTAAGAAAGCTAAACCTTTTCTTTTGTTTTCGTCAGCTCTAATGCAAGTGAAGCAAAATAACATTTTTATCACTCAGATGTCAGTAGGAATCTCTTCACAACAGTATTGGGCAGGGACTCCACTGCCAAACTCAAGTTGTTCACACGGATGTCACCAATGATGCCCCAAGAATTCCCAACATAAAATAGAAGAGATCCTGGCAACCATCATATGGACATTTGGGGTTGAGGAAGAAAACAGCAGCAGAAACAAGAGCGGTCTCTACATCAGAAGCAAATGTGGGAATCAGCAGGTAGAAAAAAAGGAAGAGTCCAACCTGAATATAAATTCTCACTGTTGACTCGGGGGAGAATAGGTAGGAATAACACAATTCAGGACAGCAGGCCAGCAGTTCAGCTGTTTCTTCTCTCCTTTTCTGCCATGGGTAAATGATACAGCCATTGAAGTCATCCTAATATCGGATCATGCCAGAGTGAATATGGAATTGATTTTTTAATGTTATTATAAGGCGGCAGTAAGATGGAAAATTTATACGAATATTTTTCGGTATCCAAACCCGATTGAAACATTTCAAAAAGATTTGGAAGAGACATGGGAAATAAATGAGAGAGGGAGGATGTCAGCCTAAAATAATCAGGGACACTATGAAGTCTATGACAAAAGGGTATGCATGTAAAGCATCTCATATACTTAAAAAAGTGGGGGGAAAGAATACAGGACTTAGAAGATAATATAAAGGAATTAGAAAAAATAGTTATAAGAACTAGAGATAAGAAAGCGATAATAGAATTACAAGCAAAGAGGAAGGACTGGAAGGGATTAATCTGGAAAAGGTACAAAGAAACTTAATTTATCTAAAAAGATTTTTTTAAATTTAGTAACAGGAACTCCAAGTTATTAGCTAAAGCATC